AGTGCATGCTTGTTCAGGTCCTGTGATATGGCCAAGGATGGGATACTGGATTCTCTCATGGCCTCACTTTCCTTTTGTACAGGATGATTAAAATGGTCCCTACCTTAGTATTCACAGGTAGCATCTTCATTCTGGGAGCAGTGTTTGTTGATGCAGACCACATGATGAAGGCAGTGTGACATCTCTTGCTGCCTCTCCAGTGGCTTCCCATGTGACATGCCTCACTAAATAAGGAGGGGAAATGATAGAAGCCAAGAAGGACTAGCTCCTTTTATAAACCCATGACCATGAGTGTCTCTCCCTGTCTCCCTGGGAATTAATTCTAATAATATTTTAAGTAGAAACCACAGAACAATGATCCGTCAGGAGAACAACATGAGAGCTGAAGATGGCTTCAGAGACTCAGTGATGGTTCAAAGAGCATGGAATGAAATGGATAGAATCTACGTGCTTACATCCACCCAGTTGCCAAAATTTCCCCTTTGTCTTCCTGCCTTTGAATCTGAGAGCATTGATTTTTGTACACTTGGTTTATCCTGCATTTCACAGTGTCTTGGTTATGAAATAAGAAAGGAGCCTGAAGGCCTTTGTTAAGTCTCAGAACTGCCACATGTGCCATGTGCTGCCTTTGGCAGCTCAGTATTTTCATATGATTCTTAGCACGTGTATCTATATGATAGGGAAATTATATTTGCCTGGTTTTTTTTTTGAGGTGTTATAAAGTTTAAAGAGGCTTTCATGAAAACATATTGTAAATCATGCTATTCTAAGTTAAGTATAATAAGGTAATATTATTTAAAAGGAATGTTCCCAAACGTCCCACAATTTCCTATTGTGACATTGGAACCCTCTTCTTATGATTACAGTTTTTGCAGGATATTTTCCTCACATTACTGCCTTCAGTCCTTCTGGATTCTCTGTATCAAAAATAGCCCCTTATACTTAAGTTTTGACTAATAATTTAGTGTGGAAGGGAAAAATAAGGGTATATATGTTAAAATTACACGGTTTTTAAAAATAGGATCATTAAGTCCTTTCAACCACATTTTGCAATGATTTCAAATGCTTGAAAAGTTGTAGTATACCACTTAACTGGGAGATGTGAGGAGTTCCTGCCACATGCTTGCACATCCACAAACTCTACTGTGCTTTCCAGGTGGTGATTGTCTGTCTATACCCACAAACTGAAAGCCAGAATAAGTTGTTCTTCCCTTAAGAAAAACATTCAGTATTAGAAGCATCTAGACAGTATCTCCATCACCACCCTTGGCCCCAAGTACACTTGGGTGATCACACCTAATCCTCAGCAATTCTCCCCCATGAGGGTCCAGGTAAAAATCACGTTATCCCAGAGAGAACTGGAAACCATAACTGTGAAGCTGCATGGCTCGATGGGCCCCTGTTTTGTTTTGCTTTTGTAACCATGGAAAAAATAAAAGCACTAAGTATAATGAAATTGAGGTCAGCAGGCTTCACTCTGTGACTTTTGTTTTTGTATTTCTAAACAGTATTGCTTTGTCTTAAAAAATTAATGTTACAGTGGGTGGTTGGTGATAGTGCTTGCTTAGCTTGTGTTTTTTGGTTATATGATACCAGCGCCATACACAGAAGATTCAAGTAAAGAGATTCCAGGAGGAAGATGGATGAATAACAAAGGAGCTCAGAGACCAGGAGGCATGACGAGGCATCACGTTTTCAGAACGTTTCCACTTCCTGATTTTTGTAGGGAGCAATTATTTTGGGGGATAATTTACTTGCTCATATTAAAAATGGTTCCTGGGACTGAAGAGATGACTCTGCCGTTAAAGGCACCGGCTGCTCTTCTGGAGGACCCAAGTTTGATTCCCAGCACCCACATGCTAGCTCACAACCATCTGTAACTACAGCCCCAGGGGATTCAACACACTCTTCTGGCCTCCATGGTATCAGCCAGGCATGTGAATATGACTCAGTGGTTAAGATTGTACCCTGCTCCTGTGAGGGACCCCAATTTAACTCCCGGAACCCACATCAGGTGACTTACAACTGCCTGAAACTCAGACCTCAGGGGGTTCCCAAGCCTCTAGACCCCTCAGGTGAACATCTTCACATGCAGACCAACCACATACACATGATTAAGAATAAAATCTATTTCTTAGTAAAAGAATAGTTACATCAGCACCAAGGGAAGCAGGTGCAGGGCTTGCTGGCTGCCAGCCTCGGTTCAACTTCAGTGAGAGACTCTGCCTCAAGGACATAAATTGGAATGTGATAGATGTGGCCACCTAATGTTCTCTGGCTTCCATGTAGGCGTGCAAACATGTGCATATAGTACACACAAAATACTACACATGTACACATACACACACATGTGCATGCACACACACGCCACACGGACATGTAATGTCTGTATTCTGTAAGGACGCCAGTTTATATTATGCAGGAAGTCAAATCCTTTCTTTTTTTTTTTTTTTAAGATAATACTGACTTAATCTGTGTCACTCTGATTTCCTCATTTGGAAACGGACACCACAACTCATTACTCATGGGAGTACCACGGTGTTTAAAATAACAAAATGAAAATACTCAGTACACTTCACACTACAACTTAAACAAATAACAAGCTCGAACCATAACCGTTTCAAGAGGATGTGGGCCACGCAACAGGAAAAGGTAGCTCGCTGACGATAGGTCACCTCTGCTGTAAAACAGATACTGGAGGGCTAGCTTCTGGGGAACAGTGGCACGCCCCATGACCGGAGGGTATCGCTGGATATCTTACTGTGGAAATGGTCAGCCATAGCCTCCTCGCTGAGAGTGCAGTAGCTTGGATCTTAGCTCACAGTCACCACCCCCACTTCATGCTGAAGGTGACTGAAGACAGCCCTCCTAAGCCATATCAAGGGCATATCGAATGGAGTCTTCTCCAGCGGCGGCTGTGTTTTCAGAATGACTGAGTGATTGTTTTCTGCAATTTCTCTATCAGGGTCTTGGAAAACCAAAAGTTACCACGCAAAGAGAAACAGTGAGCTGGAGTGTGTGTGTGTGTGTGTGTGTGTGTGTGTGTGTGTGTGTGTGTGTGTGTGAAGTGGAGTGCTTGATTTGAAACACAGAAATTCTTTTTGTTGTTCTTGGTGGGGGGGAGGCTTTGGACAATGGACCTTCTCACAGAAGTAAAGTTTGTCCATTGCTGACGTTGTCCCGTGTCATCTCTGGAGCAGTTTTTAGCACATTCCCTCTTTGATTTTAAAAAGAGGAGTGAGCCTTCCTGAGATGTCCACGTACTTCCTGCCTTCTTAACTAAAATGAGAAGTATAAGCCCAATGTTTCTTGAATAGTTTCTTGAAGCTGGTGCCATGTTTCAGAGCTTCACTCCTCATTAATTTTCACAAGCCTGTGAAGTGGGTGCTGCCTAATCCTCGCCTTCCAGATGGGGAAACTGAGGGCAGAGAAGCCAAGTTATTCAAGGTTGTGTAGTTATAAGTGATACGCTTGAGATTTGAACTCTGTCTCCCCAGCCCCTTAAGAAACAAGACATATTGATGGAAAACATTCTGGTTAAGAAATGACAGAAAAGATTATTAACCATCAAATCGGGAAATCTAAACATCCATTTCAAAACTGTTTCCATTTATGCTGGTGTTCGAAAAAGAATTTGTACTTGTGACTATTCCTTTGTTCCACGGATGTTTGAATGCCTGCTTGATGGTATGACTGTGGAAACATTGCAGGCTAGGTACTGTAGAAACAAAGAAATGCCACAAGGCACACAGTTGCCTTCTAATGGCCCCCCCGTACAGAATACACATCATCTGAGTCAAGATGGGGAACTCAGCTCACTTATGATCAGGAGGACCTCAACAAACTGTTGACTTTTCAACCCACCTTTCAGGAAAATCATCCTCTTTTACTTCCTCCATCCTGTATGAATGGACTAATGAATGAGAGCAAGGATGGGTGGAATAAAATGGTTGTTTTGTATTGTTTTGTTTTTATTCAAAGAGGCATCACTGTGCTCAAAATAGTTCAAGTTGTTTGCGTGGCCAGATGCTGACGGACCTTGGGCTGGATGGCAAAGTTTGTTTCCCTAGATGGTGGCTAATGAAAATGAGAAGCTTATAAGAACTACATTCCCCCCATAAAAGATGCATTCTCAACGAGATGTGATCCTCCATGCGGTTAGCAGATGAAGTTAAATGCAACTCTAAGAATAGACCTAAAACACAAAGCCATTGGGTACATTGATGGCATCAGTGAAATTGAGCATATGATTTCCTATGGTAACGACTTAGGCATAATTGTCATAACTGCCTCGTTTTAAAAGTGATGAATTAACAGAAAATACCCTGGAACTTCTCTCATCCAGACATGACTTAGATTCTATATTCTCACATGCCTGGGACCATCTTTTGATGTCCCTTTTTCTGAGCTGCCTTCCTCCCGTAGGAACTAATGCGGTCTTTTGATGCCTCCATTCACTGTTGTGATCCCTGCTTATGCAGAGTGCTGGCATCAATATGTGTGGTGATTGAGGAGAGATGGTTGTTTGTCTCAAGCCCTTTTACTTTGGGTCTCCTTTCACTTTGTGTTTATTAGACTGACTGGTAGCCACTGTGTCTGGCTGCCTTCCATTTGTCTGTTTATGACCATCCCCTAGTATATTCTTTAAGCCTTTGATTAAGTGCTAGAATGTCTAATGACCTATCTAGTCAATATGTGTTTTCAGAAGACGAGCGAACACACTCTGAGGGAGGATAAAGGGCCGAATTAGAGTGTGAACTGCAACCAGCTCCATTGCCAGGAAAGCATTACTTATCCGCACAGAGATAATTGAATTTTGTTTTATTGCTGATATCTAGCTAAGTGGCATTACTATTAGGGACACTTTGGCAAGAAGGATTTTAACAAAATAAAGGAGTGGAAAGGAGGGAGAAGAGGGAAGGCAGAGGGAGGGAAGAAAATGCCCAAGGAGAGTTTGGTGGGGATCTCACTTTGAATCTCTTTATGCTTGCTGTTCACAGTGGCTTGAACTTCATTGACCTGATGGTGCGACAAGGGAATATTGACAACCCTCCTAAGACACCCTTGGTGCCAGGATTTGAATGTTCTGGGATTGTCGAAGCTCTAGGGGACAGCGTAAAAGGATACGAGGTAAAGTTTTAAGTGCGACTTAAACAGCAGTAACCACCTAGAGCCTGTGAGGCAGGGAACTGTGAAACTATATTTGAAATAACAGCCGCCGTGTTTTACTTTGTTGTTTTGTTCTTTAGCAATATTAACCATATTCACGATGATAGGACGTTCCAAAAATCCCATGACTTCATTTGCTCACTTATTTCTTACAATTTATTTTCTACCCCGTCTTGGTTTTTCCTAGCAACAGTTTAGAAGAGTGGGCTGGACAAGTCTTGCTATATTCTTTTTTTGTACTTACTGTAGCTATTAAGACTATTTGGCTTTGTAGGATCTCGGTACACAGCCCCTTACCCCGGCTATGGCTACTGTTTCCCGCCATCTCAGGCTTAACAATCAACTATAAAACACGGAAGTAAGCGGAGTTACTTATTTTATGATGTGGGTCCTTAAAATATTTACCGAGCTCATACCTTTTAAGTTATCATTTATAAATCCCGAACTATTTTAGGAACAGATAAAGCATGGCTTTAGATTTTAAAAACATACCTTAAGTCAAAAAACTTCACCCTCACAGTAGGATAGAATTGTTCATGGGTTAATGGCTTTGGGAATGGTTTGTTCCATTATTCTGCTTTCATATACGTGTGGAATTCTCCACAATAAGGCATTTCATTTTGAAAAGAATAAGATGCATCCACTACTTTTCCTACTGTTTTAATACAAACCATGTACAGCTCAGTCTATAAAAACTGGAGCTCTGGGACTGGCCTTGTGGCTAGAGAAGAAAGGTGCTTGCCACCTAGCCTGCTGATTTGAATTCAATCCCTACAACATACGTGGATGAAGGAGAGAACTTCCACATGAGTGTTCTGGCACACACACACACACACACACACACACACGATGCGACAAAATACTGCAGCAACATCAGCTGTATAAAAATTAGGAGTTCATACTCTTAAAACTCACTTACAAATCAAACTCAAGGGCTCTCACTCATAAATAAGCTCTCAGCAAGAAGGCTGGGGGACTGATACCCCAGAGCACACTATAACCAGTTTTGTAGAGAAGTTATCTTTTCTCTAACCACAATGACACCCCCCACCCCGCCACACACACACATGCAGTAAAGGTTGTTAGTATTCCCTCAGGTTCAGAAGGTACAGTAATTCTCTATGAGGCCAGAAGTAGATCCCGATTCAAGTCACCAAAGCCATTTTACACTTCCTAGCATCCCATGGCCTTTACTAATATTCCAACCCTCACACCCAATGCTACAAAATACATGCAAGGAGTGATGGGTGAATGTGAATCCTGTAAAATCCAATGCCAAAGCTCTCTTCAACCTGACCTGCAGCGTGCAACTTGTCCTCACCCCACCGGGAGCTGCACCCCACCCTAAATGCCGAAGGCACCAAATTCAGGTTGCTGAATGCCTGGAAAGCTCAGCACATTTACTGATGTTTCTGTCAAGGATTTCCAAATAATATAGGAGAAGAAAAACCCAAAAAAGGAGAAAAAAATAAGCTTTTGATTTTTAATTTCAGCTCTACATTCTCTGTGCCGAGTAGACATTTTCACCCAGGCACACATCTCTCCCTTGAAGTGCTGCATATAGATGGATCTGTTTGTTTTTCACTCCTCCACGTGGCCCAAAGGAAACTCTCGCTCAGCTCGTTCTGCTAGCCCTGAGCACTGAGTAAATTTCAGTAAATGGAAATGTTATTGGTCTTGTTTTAAAGGGATAACTTACCAATTACCTTACTTAATTAAAGGCATTATGACTTATTTTCTAGTCAGCCCAGGTTTAACAGTAATATCAAGCCTTCATGTCAACACCTCTTCGGCCAGCGGTTTTCAGCTCCATGTATATTTTTTTAAGTCTCCTGTGTGTTTCCATCCAGAGTGTGATATGGGAGAAAGCCAACACTAATGTACTCCATGTGATTTTTTTGACTCACGATTCTTAAGCATGTTAGAAATGGAATTCCATGCAGCAACATGTCTCTTGGGTTGACCAATAGCAAAGGATTGAAAAGGTGTTGCCAGAGGCCATCAGTAAAGGGCTGATAGGGGCCCCTGGTCTCACGAGCTGATTTTATTTTTCTTATTAGAATCAATTAATTGGGTAAATATGCATATGCATTTCACATATATGCGAGGATATGTGTATGCTGATCCTATCGTCTAGTTGTGTTTGCTATTCTGAAAATGAAATAAATGAATGGTAACAGACTGAAGTTGAATGAGAGACCTGAGCGTAGCCACACACTTCCACCATGAAGCTCACTGCAACGCTCAATTCACTTCACTCCATGAGGCTGCTAGAGGCCATTAGCTACTCTGGAGGTACTGAGTATGTGTCTCAGTTTTCACAACTCTGAGAAGGAGCCAGTGCTGAGCTCTCGTCACAATCTGGTCCAAATGCTTGCAGTGAAGCCAACACTTATCAGAGTCACTGCCAGTGGGGATGGCTTTTCGCATCTCCCTCTGCTTCTTCACTGGGCATCCATTCCTTCTGCTTCATGTAGCGGAGCAGGTCTGTGCTTATCTGTACCACGGATCCGTGAATCCCCGAGTTTCAGGGCCAATGTTTTCTTTGTAAACCAGATGCCTGGGTTGTTCTTTTCTTGGTTTCCATGCACTGTGCCAGGTGTACTGTATCCACATTACTTCATGAACATGGTGTCCATCTCAGAGATGAGGAAAGGGACTTAAAGACTCACTTTCTGTATGCCTTCAGCTGTTGCGCACTTCCAAACAATATGTTTTCTTCACAGCACTTTCCTCAAGTACAATGGGTCACTTATTCGTATCTGGAGCTGAAGTTCCTGGACGCCAATCATTGATGCTGCCACCCTCCAGCTCCATGAACTTTGACAGTGATTTGACATTCCTTTGGTTTCATTTAAATGAAGATAAATACTTATGGCCATTCTTTTGTACACCAGGGCTACAACTGAACCCGTCTTAAAGGAGTTGCTGCTAATGTTGGGCAGGGGTAGGAAGCAAACACTAAGCTACAGGGAAAGTAAAACAGTAGAATCAGTTATAAGAACAATATGTAAAAACTGAACCATTTTTTTAAGGAAAGCATTTCATTCTTGGGAGTTGATGTTGGTCGTAGCAAATTTACCACATTTTATAAACTGTAATATAAAGCGTTAGTACTCCAAATCCCCAGATGTTTCAATTTACCCAGCACTTAGTGACTCATACAAACTGATAGTGTTTGTTCTGCTGTTTCCATTTATCTTTAATGACAGTATGCTACCTTCAAAAAAAAAAAAAAACAGCTTGTCATTTCAGAAAGAGTGCCCTTTTCTTCCCCTTTGCATAGGGTTTGGATAAGTCAGCTTTTGATATTAATGCAGTGTCTACCCATACCTTCATGGGGTTTGTTTGCCACGGCTTACGTGACTCAAACCACATGAAGCCAACTGCCTCCGTGTGCTACACATCCAGGGACACGCTCCTGTTTCACTCTAAGCCCAGTTTCTCTCGTTCAGTTCATGCCTGTGTGTTTCTGCAGGTCAGTCCTCTACTAAGCTTTGCGGCCACTAGGGTCAATAATCCTGGAACACAGCTGGACACAAATACAACGAACTAGGCTGTCAGGGAGCCCATGTAGGCATGAAAAAAATGAGCAAATGAGAGTGTTCCGAATGCTTAGTCCTGTCCTCAAGTGCTCAAAGAAGTTTTAGGAAAAACAAAATTTAACCTGATCTCCAATCCCGGTCTCCATCCCACCCCCTCTCCCACCCAGTTCCTTCCCTCCATCTGCTTCAGATGTCTATTTTATTTCCTCTTCTGAGTGTGATTCAAACACCCTCCCTTCAGCCTTCCTTGTAACTTAGCTTCTTTGGGTCTGTGGACTGTAACATGGTTACATCCTTACATCCACTTAGAAGTGAGTACCCACTATGCATGTCTTTCAGGGTCAGGGTTACCTCACTCAGGACAATCTTTCTAGTTCCATCCATTTGTCTGCAGAATTCATGATGTGCTTGTTTTTAACAGCTGAGTAGAATTCCATTGTGTAAATGTGTCACATTTTCTTTAACCATTCTTCTGTTGAGGGACATCTAGTTTGTTTCCAGTTTCTGGCTATTATGAATAAAGCTGGCATAAAGAAAGTTGAGCAAAAATAAGCAAATGAGAGTGTTCTGAGCTCCTACTCTTGTCTCCAGTCTCCACAGAAGTTTTTAGCAGAGTTTTAACCAGACTGGCTTATCTGATTCCCTTGACAACAAAATAACATGGATAAGTGACAACTGAGTCAGAAAGTAACTTAACAGCCCATGATATGTCACTCCATCTGAAGCAGACGAAGGGCAGGAGGGCAGGAGAGGGGGTGGGGTGGCTAACGGGGCTGGAGATCAGGTTGGAGGGGGTGGTGATAGAACCTGGACTACATGGTCCTTGAAAGATTTTAATACATTGGTTGCAAAGGATCAAAAATGTTTTGAAATTGGGAGGTAGACATGAATATGCATCTTTGGTGATGCTGGGTTTTGTAACATGGGAAGGAAATCTTAATATCCATCAGATTCTAATTTTAGAAATGTCTCCAAAAGTTATAAAATGTATTTATGTTTAAACTTAAAGTCTGAAATATGTCCATTAAAGTGGAGAACTCCCTCTATACAGTATTCAGTGAGTCCAAGAGTACTTATAGCCACAAGAGAAGAGAAAAAAGAAGGCAAGTTTGAACCAGAGCCACAGATAAGTCTGAGCAAGGACTTCTCACCATCTAGACCAGAGAGAAGTCAGGTATGGAAGAACCTTTTTGTGTCTAAGCCATTTAACTCTCCCAAGGGGGAAAAATATGTAAGTATCAGAAACATCCCTGTGTCCAGCTATCAGATCACTGAGGTGGTTAATCGCTCCCTAAGAGCAATAGACTAGGTTCTACATTGTTCCTGTTGCTGGTAAGGCATACCAGGGTTTGGTGACTCATATCTCTCCTGAACTGAGCTATCTCAGCTCCCACGGGGATGTCCTGATGCTGAGACAGATATGCGCAGAACACGATAGTCTACACTATAGATGTGGACACTGCTAGTGTGTCATCTAATTGTGCTCCTCTTAACCCAGGTCTGATAGGTGCCAGAGGAGACAGGTAGGTCCTTATAGACACTGTGACATCCACACACTGAGGTTATAGCAGCCTTATCCCCAACTACACAGAAATGTCTGGTCTCAGGAAGCAGACGACTCTGAACTCTCTTGGACCACATCAACTCTTTCACACAGGAACACCTGATCTTTACTCTTGGATCAATGTCTGAAATATCACTGTGCTCATGCCATCAGCTTAAGAGTTTATTTTCTACTAAAATATTCCTTCCAAATGGAGTTGCCTTCTGAGCCCTGCCAATCAAGGTATTTGCCACCTGCAATTTTTTCAGAGAATATGAAACAATTTAAGAGTAGGAATTGTAATTCATTTGCCACAATATCACCTGTTCTTGGAATTCAAGATTGAGAGGTGACTTTTATAAACAATCATGGCAGGAGAGCATTGTGGTGTCATGAAAAGATATATCCAGGTTAGAGACATTATGTACCCTCAGTCTCAACGTGTGCACAGTGGTGCTGATAACCCTGAAAGCTGTCATGGAGACTAAATAACTCAAGTAATATGAAAAGTAGCGTTCAGTATATAATTATTTTTGTTCAGTAAATGGGTTCTTCTGTTGCAATCAAATGTGCAAATGTAACAACCTCTCATGAAGAGGAATTCATTTCTAGTCATAGTGTAAGTCCTAGGGATCTTGGACATGAGGGCTAAAAGAAGCCTTATAGGAAGGACACAAACAGCAATATGGAAAGGGGAGAGGAAGAATTGCATCATCCTTCTACCTTCATCAGGTGTACTGATACTGCTCAAGCTTCCACTACCACCTAAAGAGTCCTCAGAATTCTTCCCACAGAATGCAAGGTCGCAGCTCTGTTAACAGAATGCTTATCTATCATGAACAAGGCCCTGGGTTCAAGTCCTCAACACTGTATAAACCAGACACGATGGCACATGCCTAAAATCCCATTTCTCAGAAGGTGGAAGCATGAGGCTCAGAAGAAGTTCAAGCTCATCTTTAACTACCTAGCAAGTTTTAGGCCATGCTAGAACACATAAGACTGTTTAAGAAGAAGGAGGAGGAGGAATGAGGGAGGAAGTGAAGGAGGAAAAGGAGAACTATTCCAGGGAAAGAATGAGTTTTCCCAAAATCATGGCTGTGAGAGGAGACGGCAGCAGGGAGCAAGGTGGGTAAGAAATCCAGAGCTCTCGATGGCTCATTAAACATTCATGTTATTTAGAGTTTACTTGAGTTTTTACTACAAATGTATAGGAAAGTGTTTGTTTCATCAAAGAACAAATATGAAAATCATAAGGATTTCTATAGAGCTCACAGTATATGAATTGGGAGAACAGCCTATGTGTGTTACGTAAGAGAAACTATGCATGTTATGTACCATGGACAGCTCCTCGCCTGGCCCTTGTTATCAGAACTCCATTTAACCTTGTATTTCTTTATTCCCAGATTGGAGACCGTGTGATGGCATTTGTCAACTACAATGCCTGGGCTGAGGTGGTCTGCACACCCGTCGAGTTTGTCTACAAGATCCCAGATGACATGAGTTTCCCCGAGGCCGCTGCTTTCCCCATGAACTTCGTCACCGCTTACACGATGCTCTTTGACATCGCCAACCTCCGGGAAGGGATGTCCGTGCTGGTGCACTCAGCTGGTGGAGGGGTGGTAAGTTTGCTGCTTGTGGTTCTGTTACTTCCAGGTCGTGATGGTACAGAGGGAGTTGAAGTTGACAATGTGATACTTACGTGACTTTTGGTCATTGGTAGGAATAACCTACAACAGTGGTGGCACCTGAGTGAATAGCAGAAGCCTTTAGAGATGACTGTAGTGGGGTTAAGCCTCAGCGATGGTGTCTCTGTGGCTTAGAGTGTTCTCAGAATGTCATGTGAGAACACAGTGGTCTCAGGCATGGTTTTGTAGAGAGACACAGAGTCTTGGCATCATAGTAAAGTGCCATGCTGATCATTGTGAGATACCTATACAAGGTACATCCTACTAAAGCCATATAAAATGCCAAGAGAGTGGATAATGTCCTTTTCAGTTAATTGCAATGTTTGACATTACTCCTACAGTAACATTATACTTCACTTGTGCTCTGGTTTACTTTCTTAAATGGGGGGGAAAAGGACAGAGATTGACCTGTCACACTGAGAATTACACAAGAACCTTAGGTAGCCCAGGAGGAAGTATTCTGTGTGTAATCTTTCAGATTTATCTTTGCCAAGTGGGACAATGAATGAAATAAAAAATTCTGCTCTGTAGTTCAGGTATGGTGAGTTTTTCTTCCATGGTTTCAGTGTGTCTTGGTGCTTATATCCAATGCATACAGTATGTCCTTCACATGGACAAATACTAGGCTTGGCATGTTCTCCTGAGGTTTGCCTGGAATGTCTATCATTCTGAGAGTAGGTGGTATGTCTCACTAACTCAACAAATACTCATTAAGCACGTGCCATGCTCTAGACTCCATGGATGCCCAGATTCAGAGGAGAAGCTACAATATAACAGAATTTGAGAGGTTTCTGAAATTGTGGTTCTGCTTGGTGGCTTCAGAGATGAGTTCTTACAGCTGAGTCTATCGCAAATATTTTCTCAGGAGGTTTTGTTCATATTGATTAAAAAAAAAACTTGGCTTTTTACAATTTTCTGAAGTGTAAAGAAAATTGTGTATGTGTATGTGTGTGTGTGAGATCCAGAAATTGACATTGGATCATCAAGTGTTTTCATCATTAGTTCTTCAGTAGTTTTTATTTTTTTGAAATAAAGTGTGTCACTGAACCTAAAGCTCCCAATTTACCTAGGCTGGCTGGCCAGCAAGCCCCAGGTATCCTCCTGTCTCTATCTCCCTTGCACTGGAATTATAGGAAACACTACACCCTGTTTTTTAACATAGATGCTGGGGATGGAATCCAGGTCCTCATGGATTGCTCCTGGATTCCACCCTACTAGAGTAATTTTCCCATCCCATGCTTGTCGTTTCTGCATTTCCTTTATGAAAAAAAGCAAAAACAAAACAAACAAACACAAGCTCACATCCAAAAGTAAAGCTGTGAAAATTTCAGAATGTCATAAGAAGAGATCTTTAATCTCATTCACAAATTTACTGATGTCTTTTGATGAGTAAAGATATAATAAGAACTCAATGCTCCCCAGAAAAGAGATGGATTTCCATTCTAGCTATTCTGCTAAGAGCCAAGCGAGATATTTAGAAAGCTAGCATTTATGGTCTTAGTGTGTTCTGCATACAGAGCGTGGGGATGTTTTCACATGGCCAGCAGAAGCACTCATCTGTATGGTGATGATGGCTTCAGTCTTGCCAAGAGTTGTCAATGTGAAGGATAGTTCATCACACCCACTTGTCATTTTGATTGGCTCTTGGATCAACTAAAATTCAAGCTCTTGGCCATTACTAGGACTTTCTTGATCAGATTATTTTAATAATGAAGGCCACCCTAAATGTGGGCAGCATTTTTCAAGGGCAACCTAGATTAAAAAAAAAAAAAAGATATGGATGACAGAAACCTTGCTTCTTGCCTACTTGCCTCCACTCTTATTAGCAAGTCCATCTATCTTATTGATATAGCACTTTTTTCAATGATAGTAGGACAAGTTTCTTCCAGCCTCTAATGTAGGCTAATGCCCGTAGCTCTCCTGAAATCTTTTAGGCCATCAGCAGCAGAAATAGTTTCTAAGCACAAGTAGAAAAAGGTAAAATTGGTACTGTGATTTACAAACAGACTGTTCTAGCTCTCTTTCTGTTGCTATGATAAAACATCCTAACCAAAAACAACGTGATAAAAAAAGAGGTTCACTTAGATTACAATTCCAGGTAACAATTTGTCACTGAGGGTCGATGGGGCAGAAACTCAAGGCAGGGGCCTGGAGAGAGGAGCTGAAGCAGAAACTAAAGAGAAATGCTACTTACTTGCTTGCTCAGTCCATGAGACTGTGCTCCCAAGGCTGTCTAATAGCAATGAAGTAAAATAAAATTTACTGAGAGTCAACCTGCTGGGACCTCTTGGTGGCTTGGGTTCATCTTTGGACAGATTTGAAGATATGGTTGTGCCTCCTGTCTCTCTAGAGGAAGCCTTCCTTGAAGAATACTTCTCCCAAACCAAATTAGTACGTGCAGGGAAGTAATCCAGGGTCACCATTAAAGGACAGAGTGTGGCCTGGGGGCATACTTATATATACAGACAGCCTTTCCAGCTGGGCAGGAGTGACGCTGTCTTGCAGAAATGAAGTTTGGCCAGGTAAAGGCCTGAACCACCTCTATTCCACAGTGGGGAAATGCATGAGTCCTCAAACTTAGAACCAGATTCCTCTCAAGACAATGGCCAGTAACTCTGCAGTGGCCATATGGAGCCCCCTAAAGGCAATTCCACTTGCCTTGTCTGTGACACCCTTGTAGAGGAATGGAGGTACTCCCCACCATGGTCAAAGCCACCCTGTGTATCATTTGCTCTGGTAGGCAGGATAATAGCTCCTGAAGACACCAGGAGCTTTTGTGTTTCATTAGATACCAAGGGGAAGTTACAATCTGACTAGGGTAAAAGCCTTGAGATGGAGAAGTTATCTCAGACTGTGGCTGATCCAATATAATTACAAGTTTTTGAAAGGGAGTAGAAACGTCATAGAAGTTTAAAAATGCTACCGTGTGGTTTTACTGACAGAGTGGGGCTATGAGCCAAAGAAAGCAGGTGGCTTTTCGATGCTGAAAGAGATACAGAATCTTGAGCCCACAGAAAGAAACAACTCTACCAACATTTTGGTTGAAGCTGAGTGAAATCCATTTAGGATGTGAAATTTCCAGAGGCATAAAAGTAGAAAGACATGTTTTATGAGCTCTAGGTTTGTAATAATTTGTCACAGAGGCCATTTTTTTTCCTGGACTGCCCCTCACAGTGGAGATCCCACTGTGGCTTAACAGAGGCACAGCAAGCAATAGAAAGAGCTACAATTTGTACCATTCTCTGGATGGTTCTAAACCTATTCTTTTTCCACTCAGACACCCAGAATGCTCAAGAACATAGGCTGTTCATTTTCATGTTTTCACTTACTCAGAACTGGGGAAATGACTCAGTCAGTAAAAGGCTTGCCATGCAAGCATGAGGACCTGAGTTTGATCTCCAGAACCTACACACACACACACACACACACACACACACACACACACACACACACACTACTATCTAATCAGTTTTCAGGAATAAGTACAGACATTTAAAAAGCTGTTAAGACTGTTGCCCGGGTATACATATTCCATCCTGATATTGATGTGAAGGTACAAATTAAACCTCATTAGATAAAACTGCCTAAATTGGGTTTCTATAAAATATACAGTCCCCACAGTGCCGAGAGTCCCGTTAGCTTTGCAGTAAAGGTTGGGGTGGAAAATGCTCGGGTAGCTCATAAAGAATCCCAACGTGAGCTGTGACTTTATGGAACTATTATTGGGTGGTGGGAAATAATTCAGATCAGAGCAGGATGTGTGGTCTGGTCGCTGGAGTGGCCCAAGTGTATCCACTGTTCCACACAAGCCTCGGATACATCAATTTCCTCGGACTGTAGCATGACCAGATGGCCTGCAATGGTGAGGCCCCTAATCAAATCTTGAGAAACTGGTGGAAAGTTGGTTCATGAGCCCTCAAAACGAAAATAACAAAATAAGCAATGGTGTGGGACTCATGTCAGTTGCTGTATAGGCTCTGCTGCAGTCCTACTCAGCATGGCTTGCTGATGAAGCACCTGAGTTTGGGCACTGTAATTCAGGGTGTGTGCCAGTTCTGGATGTGGCATGACTGCTACTGGGAAGCCATTGTCACATTCAATGCTCTTTACTTCAGGATTTTTTTTTCCTGTTTTCCTCATATCTGAGTGGTGACCACCTCCCCATGTCCGTGAGTGTCCTGATCTGCATTGGGCAGATGATGTGTGAGTTGGTCCTCATTTGACAGATATAGGAGCTGGTGGATAGGGAAATGACAGTGTTATGACTTTCTGAGTCACAATGCGTTCCAGACCTCTTAACCCTGTGTTTCATGTTCTTGAAGCTCTGCCACCTGGCCCTTAGCATCAGAGAGATGAGGAAATAAGACGGGGTGACCTTACAGAGCTCTGTAAAGGACTTCAGGAAGATGGGCCAGACCAGCACCTCCCTCTCCTACAGGCTTCCAGCCACACTGACCTGTTCATGCTTTGCACAGCACACCAAACACTCTGAACGTCTGTGCTTTCTCACATCCTGTTTCTTCTCTCAAGAATGATCTTCCTGCCTAATTCAAATGTCACCTTGTCCTCTGAGAAGTCTTCCAACAGTCTGTGTCTATGTAAACCCTTGTGTGGAAGCTGCAGAATACTTACAGCTTTTCCTTTGTATGTGGGTTCACCTGAACAGTGTTTCATAGTATTATCTAGTAGGAAGGATGTGTGATTATGTGGTCAAAAAACCCTGAATTCAACACTCAGCTCTGTCTTCCAATAGCTGAGAAAATCAGATCTTTCCCATGAGTCTTGGAAAAGAAAGCACAGTTTAACTTTCAGCTAACTGGCTGCAGCTCAAAGTCTAAACTCCACTTATTATAGATGAGGCATCTTCCAGCATCATTTAAACCCTTGAAAAGGAGCAACCACAAACGGAAAGAGGAGTCTCTACTAGGGTCCCT